TGACAATCTTTCTTAAACCGATGCTGATTCTTGCATTTTGGAAGGCTTTGCTGAATCCATCACTGAGATCCCTAAAGATAGAAGACATACAACTCTTAGACAGCATCACACAGAAAATTGGATACAATTTCACAGCATGAGAAAACACACTGCTGAGTGGGTATAATGCTAAATAATAATGGGATGATTTAAAGAGAGGAGCCGATGAGTCATAGGAAGCACAGTAAATGTTTCAGTCAAATTAAGTAGCACAAGACTCATTTTAGGAGGGTTCCAGGAAAAGACCAAAAGTGTAGGATGGAATTCAGATAAGAAACGTGTTTGCTCAAAGCTTAAATCCAACAGAACAGACTATTGAAATTGCAAAAATCTTGAGCTGCTATTAAAAAATAAACTAAAAATTATTGAACATCAATTTCAAATTATGTCATCATTATGCATATAAAATATTTAAAATAATTTTTTTCTAATAAAATGAGAAAATGTAATTTTATAAATGACAACAATAACCAAAACACAGAAAGTAAAAAAGCCTGAGGTTAAGTTCAAACCCTCATTACTGAACGAGGCAAGAGGCTACATACAAGAAATCACTTTACCTTCGTAATCATCCTTAGTTGTCAAAAGTTTGATTAATATTAAATAATTTCAAATACTAATAGGTCTCCTTTAAAACTCCCAATTTTATAGTTATCATAAATTTAAAAAGACTACTTCTAAGGAGATATTACAACACAATCACAATTAAACAGCTAGAAGAAATTATTCTGAGTATCTTATCAGAAAATAATTTAAATTAGGCCATTTAAAGAATAGAAAAAAAAACAAGGAAGTATTCTAAATAACTTAGAATATAAATGGGAAACTAATTGGAAAATAAATCTCTAATCTAAGACAAATTAATAAATAAGAGGTACTTGGCTAATGCTACTTAAATGACATTTTGGACACACGAAGACTTTAAATTCATGATAAATTAATTGTGTATTACTTGGAGTGGACTATCTGCCTCTGGATATCTGCCTCTGGAGGTGTCCTACGCTGCAATTCAGAAGCCAATGCCCATCCAGATAGGGAAAATCCTAACCCCTTACCAACATGATTGCAGAAAGTAATGGCTGTAGCAGCAGAAGTGTGCAAATTCTATTTGTATCCCCAGTCATGAGGAACAGACAATGAAAAACAGTAGAATGTTTAGCGGCTGTCCTACAATGTTATCTTTAACCAGGCAGTTAAAGATATCTGGCCAGGGCAGGTTCACGCAGGAAGACAGCAGGAGGGAGTGGAAACTATGAAGACTAGTTGGAAGAGCTACACCTAAAATAGCTATTATTTCCCCATTGTGAATATCCCCATTATTTCGGTCATGAATTTGTAAATTTTACTACTTTTATTTATTGGTGTGTAAAGATGGAGGCTTAGAAGTTGTGTTTGTCACCAAGCTTCCTGTCATGAGAAGAAAACACTTCCTGACCCTGCATCATCTCCAATATCTTCCCTGGTTTCATCCTTTTTTCCAACGCCATTGCATCTTCCACTGTGTTCCCATCTCTTCCCACTATTTGCTTATTAGATTGATCCGGGGAAAAATTAAAGTACATGGAAAAGCAGGAGCCAGCAAGGATGAATGCAGAATTTAGGAGTCCATGGAGTGGACCAGCTGCTCTGATGGGCTACTCTGGCATCACTGGCAGATAAAGCTTCCATGCAAACAGCATTTTGCTTTTCCTCAACCCAACCATGCTTTTTCAAACAAAAGGTATGAATGGTTTTGATTGTTTTTCATTTGAGGTACAATGCTATTTGCACAGAAGCTGCATCTTCTCTTAAAGTACCTGAACTTAACACTTAGCCGATGAACCTTTATCTCCAATCCACATGTTCTTCTGCAAGACACGTGACTCCCTCACAGCTAGAGTTTTTCGTTAAACCCAATCTTTTCTCATGCAAAAGGATGGGTGACTACTAAATGGTTTTTCCAATCCATTGTTCACCTGCATTGGAACACCAGTGACAGCACATGTCACTAGATGCCTTAATAAATAAAATCAAAATATCCTTCCACTAGCAAACTAATCATATTCACTTTTAATCTCCCATTTTTAATCTCTCCTATTTCATTTCTCCCTCTCATCTCTTTTCTCTGTTCTGCTTATCTAAGTATCTAATCCAATTCACTCGTGTGTAATGAATGTAATTGCCACCATTCTGCAATTTCTAAGGTTTTGTTTCTTTGCTTTTTTCTTCTGTATCCCATCTCTTTGCTACACTCAAGCTTTACATTTTATTACCCACTTACTACTAAAACTTGTCTAGCTAAGCTTTCTTAGAAAAATTTAAAAATCTTCCACTGCTCAAACAATAATCTTACCTTTAAACTATTTTCTTAACGTTTATTTGCCTGAGAAGATTGTCCAAGGAGATGAAGGGCTGAATAAAAACTTAGTTATACAAACTTAGAAAATCAAATGAATTGTTCCTTTTTCAGTAAGAAAGATAGAACCTGAGGGCCTTGTCTATCAGTCTATCCAAGGTATCTTCACCTCTTAGCATAATACATTTTTGTTGGTCTCACCTAGTGGGAATTGTTGGATCAGTGAACAAGGACCATTATTTTGTGCCATGTTCTATTCACCACATACCCCAATCAATACATTATAATAGTATCAAATTTTTAACATGTTCCAAGATGAATATAAATAGGATTTTCTATTGGGAAATTTTTTTATAACTTAATAATTTAACAGGTTTCTGAAATTAGAATTATGATTTCCTTATGTTGAAAAAAAACATAAAAAATTCCAATAAATGACTATTTTATATGTATACCACATAGCCAACAAGCATAGGAAAAAATGTTCAACATCACTAATCATTAGAGACATGCAAGTAAAAACCATAATCAGATGCCATCTCAGAACAGTCAGAGTGGTCATTATTAGTAAGTCAAAAAGTAACAGATGCTGGTGAGGTTGCAGAGAAAAGGGAACACTTATATGCTGCTGGTGGAAATGTAAATTAGTTTAGCCATTGTATAAAGCAATTTGGTGATTTCTCAAAGAACTTAAAACAGAATTACCATTTGACCCTGAAATCCCATTACTGAGTACATAGCGAAAGGAATATAAATTGTTCTACTATAAAGACATTCATGTGTATATTCATTGCAGCACTATTCACAATAGCAAAGACATGGACTCAACCTAAATGCCCACCAATGGCGGACTGGATAAACAAAATGTGGTAAATATACAAGATGGAATATTAGAAAGACATAAAAAAGTCTGAGATCTTTTGTAGCAACAGGAATGAAGCTAGAGGCCATTATCCTGGGCAAATGGACACAGGAACAGAAAACCAAATACCACATGTTCTCACTTATAAGTGAGAGATAAACTTTGAGTAGTCATGAAACAACAGACACTGGAGCCTACTTGAGGGTGGAAAAGGGAGGAAAGTGAGGACTGAAAAGCTGCCTATCAAGTACTATAATTATTACCTGGGTGATGAAATCATCTGTATGCCAAATCCCTGAGCTGCACAATTTATCTATACGACAAACCTGCACGAGTACCTCTGAACCTAAAATAAAAGCTAACAAATAAATAAATACATACATACTAAAAAAGTGTACCAATTTATAAAAATCTCTATTCTGTTGTTTGGAAATAAAAATTCTGTATTTTAATTGCATTTGTTTTCTCTTGAAGAATGTTAAAGGCATCTTTAAGGTGGTATTGTACATATTATTGATACTTTTTGTGGCAAAAAACAAAAGGTAGATTTAGTGATACTTGGAATCACTGTGAGCATGAGTCACTGGACTGGAAAATGCAATTAGAATTACATACACTCAATACAACATTTGCATTTGCCTTACAGATTGCTTACTGCTTACTAAAGCGAGCATAAATATATTTTAGTGATAAGCTTCCAAGTCCTATAATTATGTGAAAATAAACACTAAAAGAATTTAAAATGGTAGTTGATATATGAAAGTTTTCAAACTGACATTCAGTACTAATTTTCTAAGAAAATCAAATTAAATTTCAAAAAATTAGAATTTATAGAATTCTTATTAGCCTAATAATTTCTTGCATAGCACGGAACACACTAAATAAAAGTTTAATTTTATACAGAAAATGTGAGAACAATGCCTTGTCATTTCAAGTATTTGTTTTATGTCCAAGATAAACAGATTTAAGGAGTATTAACATATTTACTTTTTAAGTTTGAGATTCTTAAAAGATTGTTGAAGATAAAGACTTCAAAATTCCCTGAAGCTTTGGACATTTTGGTTAGCTCTGCAAATGTGCTATTCTTTCTAGATCTTCTGAATTTCATGTACAGTTAAGTCAATCCAAATAATCAAGATTAAGAAGGGGAAAGAAAGAGGAAAGGAGAATAAAGCCATGAAAAATTTCTAAAATTTGCTCTGTGCCTCATTTGGAACTGAACAAAACAGAATCAACTCATGCAATTGACCTGAAATCTAAACATGTTCCTAGTAATTGAAGGTGAAGATGGAAGATATCACTCTTAGCCATTACCCTCTCTCAATATTTACCTACTTACAGCTTTCTCTACCAGCCACTTCCATGGTAAAAATTATTATTAAAATTTCAATAACCAAAAATGCATTTATGAAATACATGGTATTAACAGTAGTTTACTACATATAGCTACTAATCCCAAAGAGTAAAATCTCTTTCAAAAAGTACTAAATATAACAATTAATAGTACAACCAAAAGAAAACCAACAAATTTCCTTGTTTAAATTTTCTCATTTCATCTTGTGAAAATTTTTCGGCACAGCCTATGGCAGGTGACAAAGAAATTCTTCTTTAAAACGATGTCAAAACTATTTGTTGGAAGAAAAAACTCAAACAAGATTTTAAAACCCCTTTTGGTCCACAACCATGCATTCACCAATTCCAAACTGACAAAATAGAAAACTGTTAAGAGTAGGCATTTCATTATCTGAATTAAAAAATACTTACACTATTGGTTTTTCCAGGCGACTTCCCTGTGAACCAACAATCTCTCCCAATGTACAAAACACTTGTCCCAGAAAGTCCTGAAATAGATAAAAAGATTAAAGCCCATAAGTTTCCAAACTATCTTTACAGTATATGTTTTGTATATTACACATCTGCAACGTTTTCATTGCTGAAATACTGACATATCTAACTTCCAATAATAGGTAAAATAAGCTCAATATCCATTAATTTTACCATGTGACTTTCACATGTTTGCACAGCATTTTGCGCTTTTAATCACAGAGCAGTTTTGTTATTTTGAGTTCACAGGCATTGCATTTGTTTTCTTTTTATGTTTTAAGCTAAAATAAAAATAGAAAAAAGTTGGAAGTTTTGAATGCATAATTGGCTTAACTTCAGATGCCGCTGAAATTATTGGAACTGTTGGCTGAGGAGACAAAATGAGAAAGCACATAGCTTAATTAATTAAGCTCTGTAGTTTGATCTTCTGTATAATGTATTAGCACCCCCTCACAGAATCGCTCTGATGGTTTAATTAGTTATTGCATGAGTTAACACCAGCATATTGTAAGTGTCTAAAAAGGATTAAATAAAATACACTATAACATTCATTAACATACAACTACATGATTCTTATTTTCAAGACTCAGAATAACACTGAAAATGAGAGGTCTGATATTAACACTGCATTTCACATATAAAGAAACTAAGTGCTTATGTCACATTGTATGCCTATATCAAAATATCTCATGTACCTCATAAATACATACACCTACTATATACTCACAAAAATTTTAAAATTAAAGAAATTTAATTTAACTTAATTTTAAAAAAAGAAACTAAAACTCTAGAAGGTTGATTTTCTATAAATAGCAGAGCCGGGACAAACTCCGATGTTCTGATTCTAGATTGTTATGCCACATAAGAACTTAACTACCATAAATACAATGAAACTTCATATGTCCATAAAATAAGGGCACCAACACCATCTGGATATGTATGTCAAGAAAATGTGAAGTTGTTCCAGGGAAAGACACGTGCCTTCTAGTTTAGCCTGTATATGATTCAAAGAATTGCCCTGTTCTAAACAAGGTGAGAGATCTCTCTAAATTGTTTGTGTAGTGAACGGGACCAAGAAAATCCCTAGGAAGAACGGACAGAGAGGGTTAATGGCAAACAAAATGTGTTCAGTACTACTAGGTATTATACTTAGTAGTATTAGAGAGAAATGACTGTTCTCGAATGAAAGAAAAAAGCCAACTCATGGTTAGGAATTACTATCAGCCCTGTTTCTCAGATAAGGCAACTGAGGCACAGAGAAAGTAACTTGCTTAGAGCTACAATGTAGACCCAAGTCTAAACCCAAGACTTACCACTCACTTAACCACTATGTTAAGCCATGCTGTCTCTCTGTTTCTAGTCTAACGAAAGGAAGGACACCCAGTCACATATAAGCTTACCAAGCCACAAAAGTAAAAACTATGTTCTTCAGTGTTAGGGAGGAAAAGTGGGGGTGGAGAAGCGCGTTAATTAAAAAGAGGAGGACAAGACCTCTATAGACTAGGATAGCCAAGGGAACATTTTCACAAAGGAATTAACTTTCTTGAGAGCCAGTAAGAAATCAGATCAGATCTTGCTTGGAGAGAAGGTAATTGGACATTCTAGATTTAGAGAACAGATCAGACTGACAGGCAAGAGAATAATGAGCAAAGAGAAGGGCTCTAGTAAAAGGTAGAAATGGAGATGAGGAGCCAAACCTAGAGAGGGTCCTCACAGGCAGGCACAAAAGTTGTCTTAGGGTAATCAGAAGCAACCAGAAGCCTTTCGCAATTCAGGCACACCATTAGAGCGGTGCATTCAGAAGATTACTCAAGTGCCTATTTGCAGAATGAGTTGAGGAATGAGGAAAATAACTAGAAGCCAGATCAATCAGAAGGCTATAGTAGCTAATAAGAGGCAAAGTGATAAGGCCCCAAACAGTACTGCACAGAAAAATCACAAGATTTGGTGAAAGCAGTATCCGCATATAAGACAAAAAATAACTGCACATCTGATATTTGGATACTGCCAGCAGGGATATACCTTCATTAAACTACAAATCATTTTAAATTTGCTTTCAAACACATCAAGAGAAGTTAAGATAAAGCTTTCATATATTTAAATTAATTATCTTTCATAATGGCCCTTCTTTATCAATGTCAAAACAGATTTTACAAATGCTTATGGAATTTTAATAAACCTAAATTTCTTTAAGTCTCATGACAGCTAGAAAGAGCCAAATACTGAAGATCTGAAATGTATCACTACTCTTCTGAGTCAGCAGCAAAAACAACATACAAGGGGGATTCCAGAATTCTTTTCTAAGGATAGTTATGCTAATGGGCACCTGCAAATGCTACATATTAAATGGACTCTGCCAATGGAACAGCAAGTCTCAGTAAAAGCCATCTGTGCTGAAATTACTCAAAAGAATAAAACATAAATATTGAGCAGGATCATACTAATGTGGAGACCTACTAACAAATACAAGAGAACACATGAACATCATCTTGGCTGAACAAAATCAACAAAATGTGCACCAAAAAGTTATGATGTGAATCTGTGTGTGCCTGTGTCAAAGGCCACACACACACTGGTGTCAACAGCTTTGGCCAACCCTGGGTGAGTGGCCAGAACTCCACTAGACTGGTTTGATAAACCCCTGAATTAAAAACACCTGAGTGCTAGGTAATGAGAACTATTTCATACCTACAAGAAGCATAAGAAAGTGTATATGGCTTGACAATGCTATGAGATACACCACCAGACTCTACAGAAAAGTCCAAGAGAAAACTAGGTCAGAAGTCATTTCCTTTCCCAGCTCCACCAGCACAGAGGAATGCAATCAGCCAATTAGCTCAACTGGGACTGCTGAAGAATCAACACAGGCGCAGAATAACAGATGTGAAAAGCACAGGCATCAGTTGAGAAGGAAAACAGAGTCCTGTGGCCATAAGCTGGACATACGGCGCGGTGTTGCCAGATCACTTCCCAGGCCTTTCCCTTAAAGGCGAATCTGGGAAGTATAAGGCTATAGAAGAAGACCTTTGCCTGTTTGTCTCCAAATTCAGGAAAGTATAATGCACATTCAACTTGAATGGCGGCCTCTACAAGTACCATACATTTTGCCCCCACATTTAATGGCATTTGTGTTTTTTTTTTTTTTTATGATTCTGTGTGTTTGTGTATTCCCTATCAAAACAACACATATATTAGTCACAATGCAAAAATTAGCATATAATATTTTTCCATTACTCGCTGTGTTGAAAATTTCTACCAAATCCATCTTTAGCCATCTTAATGGTTCACATTTGCTAAGTATTTTACACAATACTAAAGATACAGTGTCTTTTAGCAGACATTTCTAGATATTTTGGTTTGATAAAGATGAAAATAAAATATAGCTATAATATGAACTGTTTTGTCATTTCTTATTCTGGCATTGTGTTTCAGTTGATGCGTCATTAACTCTAGGTAACAGTAGTATTTCCAGTAATAAATCCAGGCACCTTTCCACAATTCTAACCCACACATAAACCAAATCTAGCTTCGAGTGTCTAGCAGCTGAGAAATGCTTCAATTTATTCAATTATTTTAGCTATTGGCCTCTCGCCAAACTGGCCATGAGATCAATGAATATTTATTGAATGAGCAAATTATTACTTTACAACCTAAATGGAACCTAGTTTTGGAATGTGTTTAAATGTACATGAACCATATTGTTTGTATACAGGATGCATTCTAACACTTAAAAACATCCGGTTGGGCACAGTAGCTCACACCTGTAATCCCAGCACTTTGGCACTTAGGGAGTCCTAGTCAGGCAGATCATGAGGTCAAGAGATCAAGACCATCCTGGCCAACGTGGTGAAACCCTGTCTCTACTAAAAATACAAAAATTAGCTGGGTATGGTGGTGCACGCCTGTAGTCCCAGCTACTCGGGAGGCGGAGACAGGGGAATCGCTTGAACCTGGAAGGAGGAGGTTGCAGTGAGCAGAGATCATGCCACTGCACTCTAGCCTAGCGACAGAGTGAGACTCTGCCTCAAAAAAAAAAAAAAAAAATCCAAATTCAATGTGCTGGTATTAAAGAAAGACTTGAGTTAGAAATGAGGGAGACACCAGAAAAACAGAGAGTAGACCAATACAAAGCATTACAGTAATAACATGAGCTTCACATTGCATAGGTAGTTTTCAAACAACTAACTAGATAATAAGAGGGAATGTGTTTGGATTATCCCTGTAACAACCTAATCTAAACTTATTACTCATATATGGCTCAAAATTCAAGAAAGCATTGCTGTGCCATCAGGTTTCAGCTGATTAGCATACAAATACATTTATGTTTCTCTTGACTTTCATGCTAATATTCAAGGGAATGTCGAACTATATGCATGAGCATAATCTTGTTCCTTCAAAATTATTACTTTCTTTCTTATGTGCCAATGTTTACAGATCAATCCCTCCATCTACATTTTATTTTATAATGTAGCTTGCTACCAGTCTGTATTCATGAAAATTACATTAGTACTACTGGCTGTAGTAATTCTACACACATAAATTGGAAATTTACTGTGCAGCCAAAGATCTCGTTTGCAGTTCTATGCTGCCTGCATGTATGTCAAGACTGAACCATTTACTAATGTCTCTGTGTCTGTTTCCTCATATATAAAATGGACACAAGGAATAATACCAATCTTACAGGCTGTACAGAAGATAATATATGTAGATAATATATGCAAAGTTCTTAAAACAGATGCTTGGAATGATAAATATCTAATAATCTATGTCTCCCTCATCCTTCCTACTCCTTTAATTTAAGAGAGTATTACTACATACTCAAAACTTGTTACTTGCTACTGGATTCCAATATAGAAAATACCATAATTAGCTAAATAAGATAATTTACTTTCTTTTCCAAAACTAATTTGCAGTCATGGTCAATACACGTTTACTTAAACAAAGGCTTATAAAAGCTATTATAAAATAAGACACATATACATGTGAATTACATTTTACAAACTATGAAATAGTAAGC